GCCACTGTGTGATCGTTCTCAAGTTTTGTCGAAGATTATATTTCTCTTGTATAGCATAAACCATTTTTCAAATGTTGATGAAACTCGATAAGAGAGATCTCTGATTTTTAGCTATGTATTTGCCCATTAGAATGCCTAATTTAATTATGGTCATTAAATGGACTTCCTATGTAGGCTGTCCCGTAAACCGTTTCAAAAATTTTGACTGAAACTCAGCGTGGAAGTCCTGCACTAATTATTGTCGGACAATTCCAATTTTCGACCTTATTGACTCATAATAAAAGCTTACTTTAAACGATGCAAAAAAAATAGCTTTTCTTGAATATGCTAAACCTTTGTGGTGAAATTGGAAATGTGAGGTTTCTGTAAAATGTTAACCAGCTATGTTCAGTTTTAAACGTATTGACCGATTAGAAAGCCTACAATAATTAGGACCATAATTTGAAGTTGACGCATGTTCATAAACTTTACATGGCGATCCGTTCGGCTTGACTGCCGAAGGCTTGTGTCCCTTCGATGATGGCCCTATCACGAAGTCGCTGGGTTCACTTTATCTCTGGGTGATATGAGTGTCAACGGCGAGCGTTCAGCGACGAGAAATTTGACGTTGACCACTCCATATACGTGACAATATATACATACGCTCGTTGGCCTATTCGCGCTATTCTGAGCAGGATCGCGCACGAGGCTGCGATGTTACACAGGCCTATATGTAACTTCTATTCTCTTCCTAATACAAGTTAAAAATAGGTTGTCTGGAATTCTGTAATGATACTTATTAATAAGTTAAGGCCGCACCATAGCTCAAGCGGTTAGTCGCTGGCTTCCCACCGCGGCAGCTCTGGTTCGATCCCGGGTCTGGTCAAGTGGGATTTGTGGTGGACAAAGTGGCCCTGGTGCAGGTTTTCTCCGAGTACTTCGGTTTCCCCTGCCAATCTTCATTCCACCAATTGCTCCACAATCACCCTCACCTATCATCTGGGGCTGGTACAATAGGCCAGAAGTGGCCGCAGTACAAGGGGCTTAGTCCCATCCCACTACTGCCTATATAACGATGCCCACCAAATGTGTCTCCATCTTGTCGTGGTGGTGGGGCTTGCGTGACTCTGTGACCTGGAGAGCTACGCTGGCTACCAGTAGGGTCATCCATGCCGGAAAGATCAGAGAGTAGAGTCCATACTAAGAGACATACCCAGGTCCTCCAGGTTGGGGGTTGGGCATGAGGCTAACAACCTCATCCTGTAAAAAGAATTTTGTTCAGAAACCTCACAGCCAGCCTCGGGTCATCATGCGTGGGTCAATTCCTAGGGCAGCACGCATTGGTTGTGGAGACTGGTTGTAGAGGAGGCCAAGGCTCACCCGGGGCTGTAGCGCCGTGTTGTAGGTAGGTAGGTATATAACAATATAATTATTTATGATAGTACGTCATTTAGAGCTTAAATGCAACAATGCAGTGCTGTACACTAGAATCAGAAAAATGGAGCATTAACAGATTCAAAGACAAGCACAATAGTGCAGACGTTGACCGATTGAAGAAAAGAGCAGCTGCACGGGAAACGATGCACATTACGTATCTTCAGCTCTGAGGCACTGGTCAAACGACAAAAACTAGACAATGATTTTGTGTAGGTTAAGTATGATAGAAGTCTGTATATAAATATTGCAATTTATTTACCCTTTACTAGATACAGTAATGATTCTGTGAGATCTTTATTAGAATACATATGTCCTGGAATCAGTTTACAGAAATTTACCTGTAAATTCGTCCTGGTTTAGGTCTGTAAGTGGGTGCCGATCGAGGAAGAAAATAGAAGTCTATCATTCAAGAAATGTTAAACATATCAAAACAAATCGAGTTTTGAAATGCGGCCAAAGAGCGTAAGTTTGGGTATGCTCAGTTGATGATCAGCAGCAATCAACGTTAAGATGCTTCTGTTGGTTGACCACTCAATTCAGCTTGTGTCCAAGGGAGGGACTGGGTGAGGCGGACGAAGAGTCTGGTTTCCCAAAATCCCAGATCTTACACCGATGGATTTTCTTTGTGCGGATACATCAGCAACACTGTGTACTGTGTACAGATTCGGGCTCTCCGCTACCTACGGTATAGGGTCATGGCAGCCATCGCAACGGTAACTCCAAATATGATTCAGCGGACTTGGCGAGAGATCGAACAGAATCTCGATACCTGCCGAGCGACAGATATAGCACATATCGAAACATACTGAGGTAATACAAAAACTGCAGACATTTCTTAGCAATTTATATGCCAGAATTATGCCATACATTTGAAAATTTTTGAGTGATAGTTTTTTTATAATCCCGGCATTCTTTTTCGATGACCCTGTGTTACTAAAATTATTGTGTTTTGTATATTATTAATCAGTATGTTTTTATTTAAAACAGGACGACGGGTGATATCCAAAAACACACTAATTTTATTGTGTATTTGGTTAGTTTTCACACTGACTACTAGCAAACAGGCCGGTCACGGTAGCTTAGCGATCTAAGGCCTGAATTCTCTTCGCTCGCTCGGAAGCCAAGATCGTGGTTTCGAATCCCACTCAGGACATGGATGTTTTGTGTTTGTGTGCAGGTAGAGGTCTTGCGAAGAGCTGATCACCCACCCAAGGGGTCCTACCAAATATCTAAAATCTGGTAAACCGAAGTGAAACGGAGAGTTTCATGGAGGTAGGCCAAGTTCTGGGGCCTTTGTGGTCTGAAGCGCCAAAAGGAAAAAGGAAACTATCGAACAGATCCATAATGAGCAGCAATATTATGTAATGCCGATGAGATCAGTTTTAGCAGATACAGACTGAATAAAATGGTTATATTAGTGGCAGAGAAAATGATAGACTTTTGAGATATTTTTCTAAACAACAAAATCCAAACTTTTAGGAATTTGTCAATGCGTAGTGCGACCTAACAATGCTTTTAAATGCGAGGTTCACAAGACTGTCTTTTTGTTACCGTTGATAACAGTATGATGACCTCCATTGGAATGAACTTTCTTTCAATTTCCGTGAAAATCACCCAGTTGAAAAATCCTGATGACACGCACAGCCACACAAACCTTTTCACCGTCCACATCATTGCTGTTCTTCATGAATATTGACCCTGATACGTCTATGTGACAAAAATGCGCAAACCGAACTTCGCTGCCGAGTGAGAGGCAACCCTGCTTCGTTTTCGGGACATCCTGAGCGGTCCTGAGTCTCTGTCTTGACCGGAAAACCGTGTACCCTAACCACGAATCCTGACTGAGCTTTCTCCTGGTATAGTCACCGCCTCAAACTTACGTCACGACCGCTTCATTTAGTATCCTTTCCAATTCGTTAACCGTTAATCATCGTGTAACTGGACGCTAAATAATCTGAGTTACTGACCGCCTTATTAAAAAATAAATAAAATGTACATAAAATTTTCTTAATGTTTCTTGAATCAGTAAAAGCTCCTTTGTACTATAACTTCTTTGTTTTCTTCCTATCTTTATGTGTTTATTCGATTTTGTCTTTATGATTGTCTTCCCAAAGTATTGTTACGATAAAGAAATAAAAGACGATGACATGGGCGGGGCATGAAGCGCGCATGCAAGAGAAGTGCATGAAGAGTCTGAGTAGGAAAACATTTGAACAGTTAGGCGTAGGTGGGAGAGTAATGTAAGAAGGAACATTAAAGGAGTGAGAATAGTTCAGAAATCCTGCTCCTGCGAATATATTGCTATAATTATTGAGTTTGGACATAATATATCTGCCTGCTTTTTGTTTAAATCGCAACATTTCGGAGACGATTCTGTTCCCGTCCTCAGGTAAAAGTTAACTCAGTTGAGTCCAATCGATAGAGCTAGTCCCTATCTCTGGACACCAACACCTGAGTCTGAGTCTTATGTTACGACCTACGGTCAGTCGGTCAGTCTGTCTTGGAATAAAGCATCCATCTGGGGCTTACGGCCAGATTTTTATTACTGTCAAACAGTTATGGGTTTGTTGATGTGGGGCGCACTCTCTGACGAGAATAAGGGTCCATCATTTACAAATGCTGCTGATCCTCACCAGCGCAGTCATTCTCGGGTCCTAGTCCTGTGGGACTCGCGACCATATTTTACTGTCTCAGATTCAAGATTTCCCTTTTCGTCGCCTCCTACGACTCGCAGGGCTACGGTGGCGGTATTCGACCCCGCAAATGCCAGTACAAAATAGGATATATAAACCAGGCACAATATAAACCGTCAATGGGAGTTAAGACAAACAATAGAAAACCCCACACACGAGGCCTAGCGCTTATGATCATTCCTAATTTAACAGCCAGTGCCTATAAAATTAGAACACTATCAAAATAGAAGCCAACGCTAAAGAGACAATTTCTCTGTCTAGTACCAATATGAAAATACAAATTTCCACATAATCTACACTGGGCTGAGTTCTAGTTTTCTGACTTCTCCTGCAATAACGGGAGCCCAGATGGGAGAGATGTCCAAGCTGGGTTAACTCTTCAGAGGAACTACCAAAAACATATGGGCGGATCCCATATATTTCCTGTATGTGGCGTTCGGTTCAATCTGCAAGACCTTCGCTTCATTTCAACATATTTTGTGACTTTAATTTTTCGAAAAATAAAATAAAAATAAAAATTAACGCAGCATGAATGCGAAGAAGACCACTTTGGAATGAAGCGAACATCGCTTGCAGAAAATACAAGGAATCCGCCCACGTGTCTCTGGTAGCTCATTCAATCACTTAACTCAGACAGAATCCAGTCCCCGGAAAGTAGTGTTTTAAAATAAAAATAGGGTGAATAATGCCCGAAGACTCAATAACTGTATGAATACACAATAGTCAAATCCTGTAACGAATATGTGTTACTAGTGACATCTGATGAGTGGATTTGAAAGAAGTCCCGCTTCGTACGTAGTAGTTCCACTGGAGCTCTGGATAGATGGAAGCACAATATTCATGTAATCATATGCCGTCTGCTATGCAACCAATAACACTGATCACGCTGAGCCGCCCATGTATATGTGTTGCTCTGTGAACAAGTGCGAAATGAATGGAATTGAAGGTGCTGAGCGTGTTGAGTAATGTACAAGAGTTCAAGATACATTATATTTATATATGTCGTAATTTTGAAAAGTATAATGAAGTATGCAATGTAATTAATCGTGATTCTGTAGTGTAAATTTTCTGTTATAGAATAGAATTACATACATGGGGTATATTAGCGTAGTACACTTCCTTAACAAAAGTATACATGAACCTAATACTGGCGAGCTGGCGAGCATGGTGTGATAGTGTTGAAACAGCTTGTAGTGTGGTTTGTGTAAAACTATGTAAAGACTAGAAGTTCCTGTCATAAATTGTAAAATGGAAGACGGTGATATGCTAAGCTTAGAATCTGGAACAGCGGACGATGTTGTCGAAGTACTTAAAAAGTTCATCGACAGGGTAAGTTACACAAGGTTTGTGTCCTAAACGGTTCGTTGTCGGTGAAGGCGGTGTTAGATATTAATTGTAGTTAGGTGTGGTATTCATTTCCTTCGCCAGCCTATGCAGTCACAGACCATACGTATTTCTTTTAACACCGTTAACTGTTTCTGAGAAATTTCGTAACGGAAATCAGCACCGCTTCCATCGCACACCAAGTCGTCACATTTTTTGTAATCAAGCAGTAAACTCACTGTGTTTGCTTACTATTTTTTTATTGCTAGTGGGGTGGGACTAAGTCCCTTGTACTGCGGCCACTTCTGGCCTATTGTACCAGCCCCAGATGATAGGTGAGGGTGATTTGGAGCAATTGGTGGAATGAAGATTGGCAAGGGAAACCGAAGTACTCGGAGAAAACCTGCCCCAGCGCCAATTTGTCCACCATGAATCCCACTTTACCAGACCCGAGATCGAACCTGGGCCACTGCGGTGGGAAGCCAGCGACTAACCGCTTGAGCTATGGCGTGGCCAATGTTTGCTTACTAATTTATGAGACCGATGTGATTGTTTTAATAAGACATTGGCCCGATATAAGTTAACTTTTTATACACAACAGGAGCTGGGGTAGCGCAGTCGGTATTGCAACTGCCTACAAGCTGGACGCGCGTAAGGCTGACAAACTTACCGCCATCTGTGAGCAGACTGTCTAGAGAAAATGTGGGATCGTCGACACCTCACAACCTATGTGCCTTCACAGCCTGTTACAGGGATTTACCTTTACCTTTTTTTTACACCATGACTGATGTTCATGCTGTTATTATTACATTTATTGTATTGTATTCATACTTAATGACCACTTACTCGATCTCCTCAACTTATACCGACGGTTGCAGCACGGACATAGAACACAATTTAACACAGAGTGGCTGGCTGGCATAGGGACATTGCACTATTTAATTCAGTACAAGAAGTATGCTAAGTTGTCCTAACTAAATAAAGCATACTTGTAATTCAATCAGAACATCCAGGACCAAAAAAGTATAATATACAGGTGCTGAGAAGCGCATGTAAATATGCATTTTTCATTAAAATGGCAACATGTGACTAGACCAGTGTTGGTAAAGCCACCTGTTGGCAGAAAGTTTTGCCTGCAGTCAGCCCATGCAGCTCTGTCAGTGCACTGTATCACCATAATCACACAGCATGTTTACAGTTATACTGTACATAGAGGTCTGTGTAGTGATAAAGCTAAGAGATTCTGACCTAGGGAAATTGGGATTGACAGCTCCAGAATATGGTCCTTTGCTTAATTTGCTTGTGTGAACATCTGAAAGTGAGGTACTGATATGGTGTGTCTTGTAATTTTACTTCTTAGCACAATCAGATGTTCACATTCCATGACTTGAACGATAATGGAAGACGCCAGAAGTTGTGGGTTTCTCTTTTTCATCGCTTGGAGAAATCGGAAGAACGTTCCTGTCACAGATATTGCCTAAACTGCATCAGAATAATAAGGTATTATTCCCTTTATATTTAGCATCAAGGTATGAATTACGTATAACTGCCCATTTTTCATGACACTTTTCCTGTAGCGGTGTTTCTTGGAATATGTGCTGTTGAACAGTGATGCGTCCTGCCAACAGCAGAAACGTGCCTTGTGATTTATTTATATTGTCATGTGTTAGTGACTAAACATGGTGTTTAATTGATAATTGGATTTATTGAGCACTTGTAACTCATAACTACAGGTAACTGTAACAGTTTATGGATCTACACATTGTACAACAAGGGAGGGGTCAGTCTTTGTGTGTAAGTGGTACTATGTTGCACTGTAGTTTCAGCATGAGTGGGTCTCTTATGCCATCATTGAATACCTTGCTTGCTCCTGTGTGTACATGGTCCTCATGTAGAGCATGAGAGACACCTTGGGTCATCTATTTGATAACAGTGAAAAACTCCTGCAGGGACTTACTGTCATCTTACATCTTTGTTTTCAGTTGATTGCTGTACCCTGTGCCAATGTCCTGGCCCCCAAATCGGTCTTCAGTTGCCCCAGTAGTCTCATCATATAGCACTTCTTTAGGAATTCCATGTAGAACATAGGAAGCCCTGCCCTGCGGTGTGATAAGAAGGTGTATGGATTTTACTCACGGTACCCATTGATAGTGCTTCTCTGTGTCCTCTGTCTTTTCTGGATATACCTCTATCTTAGCCTCCATCACTTCTAGGCAGGCCTCCATCAGTTCTAGACAGACCTCCAGGCTGAAGCCACCTGCGGAAGCTTGTTTGTTGCTTGCAAATTTTTCTTCCCTGAAGATGGAGGCGATACATTCCTCCAAAACGTCAGTTCACACAAGATCTATGTGGCGCTGCATACCAGGAGATGGCATTCTTGAAAAATGAACCTTCTTTTGAACTAACTATGATAAGCTGTTTCATGAGTATAAAATATCTGACAGTAAGTGGCAGTGTAAAGATACTCAGCAGTGTTGGCTGTAACAGTTAATTTGGCAGAAAAGTAAATCATTGTTGAATTCCCTGTTTAGGTGAGCCAGGATAGTACAAGTGGCTATGTCCCGGTGTGCCTTTGACTTTGACGAGACAGTTAGAAGATTAGGAGTTAGTTGTGAAACAGTTGCAAGCAAGCTGTAAGGACATGAACACGGAAGTTGAGGAAGCCACGGCATTAGAAGCTGTTATCAAGCAACAGCCGGTGAAGCTGCAGCAGGCTGAGAAGATGTGCTGTGGTAAACTGCACAGTGTGTGAATTAGTGATAGCGCTAGAGTTATTAGTAGTTACATTCTGTAAGTGTTCAATAAATCCAATTCCCAATCCAAATTCTGTCTATAGTCACTCATACACGTGACAGTATTTTAATTATAACTTCTTTCTGGGAATTATATATTTAACTATTATCTTTATTCCTGTTAGTTATTAGCCATCTCACATGCAACTTGCTTTTTAAAACCATTAAAAGTTTTAAACGTTTAATCTCTTCAACATCACTGGTTTACGCACACTATGTTTTGACCAACATTGGTCATCTTCAGGTGTCTCTAAAATTGTTGATGAAACTGCTGTGCTTCCATCAGTTAAGTTAATCTTTGGGATATGCCCTTGTCTATGCACCGCTGTATGCTGTGGTGGTGAGTACTTTCTTTTATTATGTTGTATGTAGATGTTATCTTTCCTGTTTTCCAGGTACATACTTATTACTGTTAGTTTATGTAGGATGTCCAAATGGAGACAAAAGTATGCTGCATGCAACAGTGTAACAAGTTTACGGCGTGACTGTAGAAGTAAAAGCACGGGTCGTCTCCCTGCCTGCATCATAGAATTGTCTACTTGAACAGAGCTTTTGTAACCATTACTGTAGAAAGACAACACAGATTTTCCATGTTATGTGATCTGTTAGAACTGACCATCATCTTACTTAAGGCATGTCCCATAGTACATAAACAAGTTTTATTACATATTCTTAAATTTTGAAGCAAGTGCAGTGAAATTGTTATTTCACACTTTTTAAGGGACTGCCTAGAACATCGCCCAGTCATAGTACATGGTGCCTCAAATCTGTGGATGTATTATGGGTGTGCATGACAGCTAGTCCGAGGATGAACATGTTTATGATTTCTGCGACAAACATCCAGATGTGTATGGGGCTCTGTCTCAGGGTCATTTCCACTAAGGTTTCCTTCAGGCTGGGGTCTCCTCTGATGCCGTCTCCATGGCACATCACATGGGCAGGTCACTCTTGGACAGTCCAGCAGTGATGTGAAGCCTGGTGACGGTCATGGATGCTCCAGCGTCAGTGGTCACAAAGCGTAGTTCCTCCCCTGTCCATCCTTGTGCCTGTAGACTGTCATGGTTGTGCTTTTCCGACATGCTGAGTGTGTAACAAGACATGAATGGTGAGACCATCACTTTCTCCATTTCTTCTATTCATTTTTCCAGTCTCAATCAATTTTCTTTTGGCTAATGTTTTTGGGGGTATCCCTGTTGGCAGTTCCTCCTACGATGGCTGACACCTCCACACTGCCAGCAGACGGGCATGATCCCATGGGTGCTCTAGCTCGATATACATGGGCTGCTGTTGCATTCCAGTCACATCCATCTTCTCTTCTCTCAGGCTAGTCGTGTTACCTCCAGTGTCAGTTGTCTTCTTCTTCATTGGATTTGTGGGGGCAGTCCATTTGAAGTGGCAGATGCAAACACACTGCACCAGTACATAAGCTGTTGGTAGTCTCTTTGGTCCACTGGGGGGACTGGCTCTAGAATTTCCTGAATGTTGTTTGCCAGATCCTGGAGGCCATTCTGATTACTATGTCAACTTCCTCGAGTGTTTTCTGGCCCATCACCACAATGAAAAATTTGGACACGCCATGCATTCATCTTTTCTTAGAGCATGTTTGGGCCAATTAAACCATTAGTGGGTATTTCACTTCTTTACACTCACCTGTATTCATCTGCTACTATTCCTACGTTGACCATTGTTTGCATGTGGGAATATTGGATTTTTAGTAATATGTAATATCATCATATACAAGGATTGTGTGTTCACCTATAAGATAAAACATTAATTGTTAAAATGTTAGTGAAATCATTAAAATTAAAATTAAATGTATATGAAAGGTTTTGTTATATTTTGTCTGGGTATAGTAGTTGTGTGTAGCTCTTCTGTTAATGTATTCCTTTGAGGTTATTCCCTGGCTGGAATATGAGCGTGTGTTTTATGAGAATATGTGGTTTTTGTTTATATGTGGGCAGAAAGGGTATGTTTTTATCTTACCTTGTGTTGATATAGTATGTGTTTGTTGTCCTGTGGGTATGTGATTGCAATTGCAATTGTAATCACATACCCACAATTTAACACACATGTTTTGTTGTTTTCAGCCGAGATAAGACTGAACTGAATGAACTAGTGTGCACAAAGTGTCTTGAGATTTTGCTGCATCGTGCAGGGTTGGTTTCACAGGAGGAACTTCTCAGCAGTGATAATGAATTGCCTGTCAATTATGAAGGTAACAGCACCTTATTTTTATATTTTATTATACAGCAATACTTTTTATGCTTGAGTGTGAAGCGTGCTTTCCACAAATGGCAGTATGGTGTATAATTGCCCAGTCAGAGTTGTAGCAGTTTCATTGAAGTTCCTGCCAAATGTGTCTTTGCACACCTATCTTATGAAATAACAGTTTAAGGACCTTATGTGTCTTATGTATAAGCATCATTCTCACATCTAATTTTTCTTCTGTCAACACCCTACATTGTCTTTTGTATATCTTGTGTAATAATGATCCTTTACTCTGCTTGCTCAAAAGATTTTAGGTCGTTTGTTTGATCAGGGTACTCCTCTGGAAATTGAAACCAAAATTACATGTGACAGTCTCTTGTGGACATAACATTCAAAGAAAAACATTTATTTTAGTGTCTATCTTATTCCAACCGTAAGTCACTAAATGATTACACTAGCCGTGAAAGGAAACAAGTAAGTGACTTGGACATCTGGAAGAATGCACATCTGCGTGATTATCACTGATTCTTTATACTATTGAACTCTAAATGAAGTTGCATCTAATAGTTTAATTACAAACTTACATTTGCCAAACAAGCATTATCAGAATGTCTCATGAGTATGCCTTGAACACCTTGTTTTTATGTTAAATCTGTATTTGTATGTATCATCCTTGTCTGCATGAACAACATAATATTTTCTCATTGACATCTCTGGGATCAAGCCCATCCTTTTCATTTTAATGAAAGAAGACTCTTCCCCCATAAATTAAACTATAATCTACTGTAGAAAACTACAGAATTATTCATTAGCCTTTCTGTTTCTGGGTAAGGATTCTTTATATTCCTGTCAACACAACACTATTTACAGTGTTGTGTTGACAGGAATATTGTGTAGTATTTGTTTATAGTGTTGTGTTGATATGAATATAATAAATATTATCTGCATCTCAGTTCTACTCTGGGTGTTTGCATTAAAAAATATGTGTGTTAAGAATATTCATCATTTGGGGAACTTTATTTCTGAGGAGTATAATCTGTTGTAATGCTGTGTAGTTCAGTAGAAGTCCACCAGTGCTTAGGAGGAATGTAACTTCTGCATCTTCAGAGCTGAAGAGTAAGCCAAGGGAGAAACTAAGTGGCAAGCAGAGTGAGCCATGCAGAGAAAACCAGTGGTGATATTTGCCAAAAAGGAACTGTGAAAGGGCCAGTGATAGTGTGACCATTGCCTATGAGCTAGCTCAGAGAGAAAACCAATAGGAGGAAAGGAAGTGTAAGTCAGTTTAGTCCTTTCGCTCTCCAGTTTGCCAAGTGAACTTATAGAAGTCAAAAGAAATTTATATGCATGTGTGTATGTAAGAGGCCAGCTACTTTTTTCTTTTCTGCCTCTTAGTTTTCTCTCTGAACCTCTTTACGGTGGTAACACTACAGTTGGCTCTAGTAGTTTCTTTCTGGCCTATGTCAGGTCTGTTTCTCTATGCAGTTTGCTTTGCTTGCTCCCAAATTATTGTTGGTTTCTTGCTTGGCTTAATTTTAGATCCCGAAAATGGAAGCAATACATTCCCCTGAATTATCGGTGGACTTCTAGTTAATTACACAGCATTATAACCCAGAAGATATATTCTTGTAGTCGTTGCTTTGAGAACCTCAGATCAAACTTTATTTCTCTTTTCAGTGATGTCAGAAGCAATGAAATGTCTTTGTAACATCATCTTCAATTGCCCGAGTGCTCAAGTACTGATTTCCAGGAATCGTTCACTAGGGGGCATTGTTAAACAACTCCAAACATACAAGGATCCTGAACTCCCCCAAGATATTAAGTTCTTCAGTATAAAGATGCTGTTTCTCATCACTGCATTGTGTGAAGGAGTCACACCTGAGATGAAGAATGAGCTACTTATGTATCTTAAAGATGTTTTAGATCTCATTTTAAAAGAAGTTGGAAGGATGAGAGGTGACAAGAAAGGAGCTGCATCTTCTGATATGAAAATCATAATGTCTGTAAGTACACTACTGATGTACAGTGTGGCTTTGTTTTGTACCTAAGTCTGAAACTTAAGGAGAAGGAATTTTGTACCTGATTGTTCCGGTGTCACCACAAGGAATGAAGTTGATGTGGTCATCGTCTTGGTATTAGTAAATAGAGGAATGTTGACATCTTAGCTTTCTCTGGCCAAATAAATATGAAGTAACAATCATAATATTATGTAAACATACAAAAGAAGGCAGTTGTTATTTATTTTATTTATTAGCTAACCTAGTTAAGCTCCCCAATGTCAGATTTCATGAAAATCGATTTGGTAGTTCACAAGTTGTTTTTTGTCCTATATGTAATAATACAAATGACATTGTGAATGCAACAATCTATTTGCTTGTAGTTCCCTGTCTTTTCTTCCTCTACACTACATGTTTCGGCCACAACCAGCCATCATCACGTGTATTTTTCACATGTAGTGTAGAGGAAAAAAAGACGGAACTACAACCAAATAGATTGTTGCATTCACGATGGCATTTGTCTTATTACATATAGAAGTGTATAGTGCAACAGGATGCTTAAATATAATATTGTTTTTTGTATCTGAATTGCAGGACAGAGGGATGTTACTGGTATTCTGCAGGGATGCGAACGTCCCTAAAGATGCCCCATTAAACTGAAATTATGGTACATCTATATAATAATGTTTTTTATGCAAGTCCTGCAGAATATCAGGATGTGATATATGTTGTCTTAGTAACTTAACTTGCTGCAGTAGTTCTCAGAGCACTCAACACTTGAACAATCGCATAACAGATTTCATCCACTGTCAATGGTTTCCAAGGATGTACTGAAAATCTTGATTTGAACACACTTTCTTCTTTCAGTTTGTAAATCATTCTGTATAATGGTTGGTTCCTCATATTATATCTTCCACACTTCTTTATTTAAAAATAGTTTAAATTTTTATATATGTAATTTGTGTTGTTTGCTACAGCATCCAGCTTGAATCTGCCAAGGAAAGGTTCCCTTCGCCCCATATAATAATATTTGTTAGGAATACCACTCTTCGATATTATATTTCACTAATGTGCTAATACATCATTATCCACGGATATTTTGCTGCCACTGAATCCAATAAAATTTTCTTCTGAATCACTTATATCCAGCAGCTCTTTTTCCGAACACATTTGCAAGTACTTTCGTGCCAGTTTTAGCCTAAAGATGAAAACATACACACTCTAGCAGAGATGTGACTTCTGACGAGTTTGCCTTACACATAGATTATTTTCATACTAGCTGAATAAAAACACTCCTATTTAAACATTCAGCCAGTTTCTCTGACAGCTGATTACTTCCTACTGCTAGTGACTGCCATGACTTTTTTTACTCTAGACCTAACTGTATTGTAATTTACTGGGGTCCCACAACAGCCTCGCATTCTATGTACTAGGCGGTTCAAATATGACCGGGACTAATTTTTTTTGTAAACAAGCCGCACTGCACCGCAGCTGTGCAACCATGAGAGAGTGAAGCCACAACCTCCACCCTCCTTCCTGTTAGGGTTAGAACCTGTTCAGTCCTGTCTGGAAGTTGCTAGAGTGATGAGTGAACAGAAGGTACCGCGGAGCATGGAACAACGCATTGTGATCAAATTCCTCGGAGAAAACATCCCGTCCGCTGAAATTCACCACGGACTCCAGCAACAGTATGGGGAAGAGTGTCTCTCACGGACCCATGTGTTTGAGTGGTGTAAGTGCTTCAGAGAGGGCAGAGAGCACGTGGAGAATGAACCGCATGATCGTCAGTCGCGAACATCTGTCACCAAGCCAAACATTGATTGTGCAGATGCACTTATTCGTGAGAATAGGCGCATCACTATCAAGGAACTTGGGGCAGTGCAGAAGACATGAAATACCACCTGCACTATCGCAAGGTGAATGCACGGTGGGTACCACGCACTTTGACGGATGTGAACAAAATGGTGCGCATGTAAGTTGCCAGTGGTCTCCTACAGCAGTTTCAAGACGAAGGTGATGCATTTTTTAAGTCTATAGTGACCACCGATGAAACATGGGTGCACTACTTCATTCCCGAGTCCCAGCAATCATCACGTGAGTGGTGGCATACCAGTTCTCTCAAACCCAAGAGAGCGCGGAGGAGCCGTTCAGCAGGAAAAGTGATGGCAACGTTCTTCTGGGACTGGCAGGGGGTTAGCCATGTAGACTTTCTGACAGATGCCAGAACAGTCAATGCAGCTTATTACTCAGACCTCCTGGCAACAGACGTGAAGGAAAAGATCCGATCCAAGCGGAAGAGAGCTGGAAAGCGGGTAACCTTCCTTCAAGACAATGCACGCCCCCATACGGCCAAAACAACAATGGAAACCCTCTGGAAATTGAAATGGAACCTTCTGACACATCTGCCGTACAGTCCCAATTTGGCACCAAGTGATTTCTACCTGTTCGGAAGGCTCAAATCAGACTTGCAAGGCATGCAGTTTGTGGACGACGATGCCGTCATCCAGAATGTTCGGGAGTGGATACGCCGCCAACCACAAAACTTTTTTGAAAAGGGCATCAGGATGCTTCCAGAATGTTGGAAAAAATGTGTTGACTCCGGAGGGGAGTACGTTGAAGACTGACATATGCAAGTAAGTGTTTGGCAATTTTGGTTTAAAAAAAAATCAGCCCCGGTCATATTTGAACCACCTTGTATGATGACAGGCATTCTTGCTTGGAATAAATAAGATGTATCACGCCCGACTTGTTAGGATACAGTAATGATCTTTGCCAAGAAGTTATAAATTCTTGTGGGATTTCATCATAAAACAGAGCCTCTTGGTGTATAAAACATTAAAAAATTCCTCCAACTTGATTATTTTTATTAGGTATGTATAAATACAAGAAGAATCAGTAGTGGTTTTGGCTTACGTGTGTGTGTGTGTGTGTGTGTGTGAGAGTATAGCTGAGCTAGAATGAGTGGTTTGTATTGAGAACTTACATATATAGCCAAAAGTTGTCAGCTGTGACAGTTTTGTAGTGTTATATATGTGTACACAAACACACACACACACACAGAGAACCTTCACACAAAATAACTTTCTTGTGGCACTTTTCACAATTACGAGTGACTCTAAATAACCATGACTTTCTCTGCAACATTTTATACTAACTGTACTACTTTTGCTTTGGGTCTCGTAAGTACCTCAACTTTTTGAAGGTACCATAACAAAGATAAAACAGTCTATCACCCTTTGTTTGGAAACTGACGATACATTTTTTCTGGAAAAATGGCAATGTCTGATACATACAGTGGAGACACGATCTTCAATAAGTTGTTGGTTTCATGTCTGCAGGATGATCAGGTGACACTGACATGTGAGGTATTGAAGACGCTTTTCAATCTGACTGTAAAATCTCGAGAACAACCTTCTGTTGGTGAAAAAGAAGCAGAAGATGCCAGGTTTCTTCACCTAGCTTCTCTTCTTCATGACCTTCTTCTTTGCGAAACACAGTCATGTGATAAACGGTGTGAGCTTCATAAGTAAGTTAACGTGTTCCAGTTATACTTATTTTGATACTTTCAATTTGTTTCAACAGATCCATTCATTGGATCCACATTTTTTCTTAGAGTAGAGCCATAACCATAAAGCATTACAGCTGGCTGAGTTTTGCAATTTTACTTTCTCATGTAAATAGTATATCTGACAAAATATTGTGAGAGTGGAGGTATTAATCTTGAGATTTTGACAGATTTACACTTGTGAGTCCCACCTGAATATGAGAATAATGTTCACCTTGCTACTGCCTGAACATTTGGTTTTCATTCGTATTCTGTATTAAAAGATTTTATGCATCATATGTTGCCTTATTGAACATACAGCAAAGATAATAGCAAAAATACTTAAAAGAAGAATTGAAAGGAAAATAGAGGATATACTTGGAGAAGATCAGTTTGGATTTAGAAGAGAAAAAGGAACCAGGGATGCAATTGGGATGATGAGAATTATAGCGGAACAAACTTTGGAGATAGATGAAGAACTGTGTGTTTGCTTCATAGACTGGCAGAAGGCATTTGACCGGGTAAACTGGACCAAATTAATGCAGATCCT